TGACTGTTTGTTGCTTGTGGTGAGTTTAAACTATGAGTCACTAGAAGTGAAGAAGACAAAAGTTTTGGTAAAACCATGCCATTATTTTATTAAAGCTCAAAACAACATTGAAATCAAATATATGTAGTCTCTACAGGAAAATATATATGTAGTTATCTCTTCTTATTTATTACTGTATTATTCTTTGATGCTGTAACCTCTGGCAGTGGAGTAGACCACATGTGTGCATGAGCCTTTTTCAGTCTCATGTCTGCTGCTTCCAGATAAATGTACAGCTGCGTAGCTTATATCCTTAGAAACACAATAAAGCCAACATTGATAATATAAAATCAAAGCACTCTACCCAAAACACAAAAAAAGCAATTCATATTAAAAAATTACCTCATTAGCAGGAGTAGAAGAAAGTGTTGTTTGCAATGGTTGGCTTTCTATAAAATAAATCACTGTGTTAGTTTAACTAATCAAACTTTTATTCATTTCTGTTATTTAAATACATTTTTAAAAATCTAATATGAGACATACATAACTTCCTGAGTACTTTAAAATGTATTTACTTCATATTCCAATGATTAAATTAACAGTATGTAAAGTAAACATGAACAGTTGTAGAACTTAGGTCAGATGCAAGATAAATCAGTGTTAATAATGCTCTATTTATCAACATTATCACACATTATGGATGGTCATCATGAAATAGTTTACCTGAAAACTTCTGTTGTTGTTTTTGTGCTCTCTTACATAGAAGAATAACGATGATCACCAAGCACAATATATTTGTTGATGCCAAAACAGGAACCTTTACATCAGTCCAGGAGAATTTAGAACTTGCTTCTAAAAAATGAAAAAGGTGTAAATATTAAAACTGCAATTAAAATCTTTAAATCATAATTCTCTCACCTCTAATATTAATCCTGCTTCCATTGCCAAACAGTATCTCTCCACACGTGGCCACAGCGCAGTAGTAAACCCCAGCATCAGTTAAATTGAGGTTCTTTTTGGGCAGATTGTAGATACAGGACTGCACGTCTTTCTCAGATCTCTTCTCACATTGATCAGTCGTGTTTCCATCCTTGTAAATGAGTCCTGGATGTGCATCTCCAAATTCGTGTCTAAACCAGTAGATGCAATGATTTTCTTCACATCTCTTAGTGAGAACTGAACAATGCAGATTCACAGAGTCTCCTGGATTAAACTCGGGCTCATGTTCAGTACCCAAGTTCGGTCCAGACAAAAACTGCTTAATGTGATGTTGTTTTGTACTTGCATCTGAAATTACAGAACTTTAGTGATTAGATGCATTCGTCCATACATAAGGTCCTTTACACAATCTTTTAATATTCTTAACTACACTCAAAAAATGATGTTTTCTGTTTGTTCTGTTTGTTCTCTTTGTTACTTATTTAAAATGAGCTGAAACAACACAATTATTGAGTGTTTTTGCGACAACTTAATTCTTTGTTCAATCCACTTAAATTTGTAAAAACTAATGTCAACTTAATTCCTTCATGTTGCTCCAACACAAATCGGTTTCAACCAGCATTTTTTACAGTGTAACGATCTATCAATACTTTATGAGAGTCACTGTAGCTGACTTACATTTAGCCTCTTATGTAACCATTTTTCATTAGCACTGGCAGTGTGACTGTATTTTGCTAGATTTACTTACCTTTATAGTTTAAAAAGAGTCCATTACTAAAAGTAATAAGATCGTAGTCACGAGCACCGCAGTAATAGATTCCAGCATCCGATGGCTTTGCTTCTTTTATAATTAAAACAAAAGTATTTTTTCCCTTTTGAACTGACATTCTGTGGTTATTCTTGAATTCTCCATAAAACACTGGTGTTGAGGATTCAGCGTAAAGACTGACAATGCACGTTGGAGCTTCTCCAAGGGTTTGCTTAAACCAAGAGAAATAGTTTTCAAGATTTAAAGAAATTAAACACTCTAAAGTCACAGTTTGACCCGCAGTAAAGCTTTCCAGGACTTTCTTTTGAATTACAGCACCTGAAAAGCCTGAGAAGATAAAAGACAATTAAACTCAGTATAATATATTCCTATGTGTAAGATTAAACAATGCATCTCTCTTCCAGAGAAAACACACCTGTCCTGAAGAGTAGAAAATATACGAGGAGAAATGCTATCATTGTTGAGGTGCTCTGTGTATTCGGCCACATCTTAGGGAGTGTTCTTGTAAGATGTGTGGGTTTAGTGGAGTCAGGTTTCGTCTTTTTGATTTAGACGATGTCTGATTGGCTGTTGTGATTTTTCCATTCAGGCCTTCTGACCCAAGATGTACAAAGTGTGCTGTGGTTTAGTTCTTCTGTTCGTGATTGGAGCTTCTGTGAGTGTGTTTGTTGTATCGTAATGATCAACAGGTAATATTGTAATATTGTTAAGTCTCATGTTTATTAGTTTTTGGCCTATTTAAAAAAATTAACAAGTGACACTGAGCTTACTGTGTAGCAAAGAAATAATTTTGTTGATGATCGCCAGTCATTGCTTTAATTTGATCATACTCACAAATTATATATACTATGTATATATAATATACATATGCAGGGAATATTTGAATGTCATCACACTTACAATTTTAAAAACTGCGTACAGTGGTATTACAGTAAATTCCGCCTGTCATAATTGTTGAACTTATATTGCATGATTTTAATGCAGAATCTATTATTTAATCCCCAGACTATGTCCACAAATATGACCACTAACAATATTATCTGTCATATAAAGCATCAGCTAACCGGTGCCCCCTAATTGTAGTCATTAGTAAAACGCATTCTCAAAAAATCCCTTTTGTCCCAATCTATTTCTCAATCTCAAAACATTCCCCCACAATGTCAATCAATTGCATTTACTTCATTTTTTTATGAAAAATGTATTTCAGTTCACATGACTTAAGCGCTACACTGTGTTAGGCCATATAATTTTATGTCTAAAAACAGCACTGAATGCTATAAGGGATTCATAATTTATAATACATTTGAAATTATAAATGGGGTTTTATTTAGAATTTTCTCTGATTAATATGCAATTAACTGGTGCACAATGTGATCCAGAACATCTAGTTAAATAATGTGTTGGCATGCAAAAATAAATAAATACTTAAATAAATAAGATCACTATTTATTTAAAATATATTTTATATGCTTTTACTATATACTATAATGTACTATTATTAAAAAAGCTATTTGCATCGTTGTCTTTAATTTATATTTATATATGTATGTGTACAATTGTATATACATAAATATTATATAAAATTATAATATAACATTATATTATATTATATTATATTATATTATATTATATTATATTATATTATATTATATTATATTATATTATATTATATTTCCCTGAGATGGGTTGCGGCTGGAAGGGCATCCGGTGTTCATTCTGCTGTGGTGACCCCAGATTAATGAAGGGACTAAGCCAACAAGAAAATGAATGAATGAATGAATATTATATTATATTATATTATATTATATTATATTATATAATATTATATTATATTATATTATATTATATTATATTATATTATATTATATTATATTATATTATATTATATTATATTATATTATATTATATTATATTATAGAGGGTTGGTTGTTTCGACAAATTCTAAACATAGCCAGCTGTCAAACTGCCATTTGAGTTTCACTGAAATAAGATTGTGTATGGAAAGTTTTACCCACAGAGACCCAAGCTTGCTTAACACTGCTTGTTTATTCAATGTTACTTTCAGAAACAAAGGCTGACCGCAACCTGAGTGCTCTGAATTGAATGTGATGTCTTGTATGTATTTAGTGGCATACGTTTGGTTTCGAAACCATTAGTTGCCGTGTGAAAGCAGCTAAAGTGTGCTATGCAAGCAGTTGCACACTTTTACATTGCCTTAAAATTAACACTTCGACCTCAAAATGTTATGAATTAAACATTATACTATATATTTTCGGTTATTAAAAATTTGGTGCAAAATATGCATTGTACATTTTGTAAGTTTTTGATTTTGTTAAAGATCTAACCTTTTAAAATTGCATTTTTAATGGTATTTTTAATGCAACTGCAGCACAAAACAATAACCATTAATTCATTGTATTTAATTGTATTTTAGCTAAAAGATAAGGTTTATTTTATTAATAACATGAAGCTCCCATACTCAGCATGGGAGGTAATTAAGGCATGTTTATTTGGAAATGTCACCTATTGTCATTAGATGTCATAACAGCTAAATGTACATGGGAAATATTTATACATTTTTTTTCAGAGCAACATTTTAAAGTGTGCTTTCATAATAGCTCGACAGTCACAATCTCACCTTTGTTAAATGCAAGTTATTGTCATCACTGACTTCTCACCTCAGTTGAAAACAAGGGGTATTTTGTGTGTAGCTATGGAAAGTGGTGCGTCGTTCGTGATGTGTTTGTGTTTGTGTGGTTTAGCTTTGAGAACTGAGCTTGGGTCAGTTTGGTGGGTGGAAAACTGTCAATCTGATGATGCACTAACAGATTCATACACTGACATTCAGACATTTAACAAAATCTTTATGCCATTTATTATTTATATATTTTTAACAGTTTCACACAGAATAAGAATTATTCTTTTTAAAGTAACATTTTACTGCTTTGTAATTGACTGTTATCAAAATGTTTATGATATTGCAGCTTACGTGATACTGAACAGTTATGAAATGATGTAATAATTTGCATAGCTATTTTTGATATGTATATTTACGGCTTTGTAATTTGGTCCGCTGAAGTTTCCCTCTGCACGTCTTGCTTTACTCTGAAGAGCTTCTTCCTGTCAGGGTCTATACAGGAAATTACATCACTCGCAGCCCCTGCCTCTTGAATACGGGCACATGTTCATAATACAGCAGATCAAAATAAAGGTCAAAAGACTGTAAATGGCTTTCTGCACATTTGATGCTCTTAACTTTTGTCATGTGCTATAGAAAACACTGCAGAGTGCACATAAACCAATAGTGTATAAATATTAGAGCCTTGACAAAACCTTAGGTTACATTAATTGATTGGGTGTCATCTTGTAGCAGAACATATAACTTCTCTATCTTCATTATCTCCGGCTGCTCTTCTGGTTTTCTGTTTTGAGAATCGTAAAGCTGCATACACTAATGAATGAGCATCCTGAAACACATTTAATGACAGTGGTGTTATTTTTCTTACTGTGAAAAATAAAACTTAAAAATAATCAAAACATAAAAAATAAACGTTGACGAAACTAGGATTATTATTTGCATCTTACTAAATTCTCTGAATTTACAATTGAACTTACTGATTTATTGTTTTTACCTGTTTTACTTTTTACTTTTTGGAATAAACCGTACATTTAAGCATTTTTATGTATTATTAAATATATTTATTAATATATTATTTATATATTTGTTAACATATTTCATTTATTGTTGTCAGTATTATTAATTATATATTTTTTTAAATACTCACAATGAGAGTTGGATTCTCAAATAAATACAAACAAACTAATAAATAAAAAAATAAAAATTAAGCAATGTAGTTATTTTAGAGAAAAATTTTACACAAAAATAATGCTTTAATCACTAATTACTCACTCTCCAGGGGTTCCAAACTTTTGTGAGTATTAGGGCTGCACAATATATAATTTCAGCATTGATATTGCAATGTGATTATGAGTCAACGCAATGTTGAGTCTGGATTATAATTTATTATTTTGCAAGTGTTTTTGAGTCCTGTGACTGTGAGGCTTTAAAAAGCATTTAGGCATAAGAAATTTTACTTTAAAAAATTAATAACAGTTATTTTTATTGAATTGTTTATAAAACCAAGACTATGCTGTATTATTTCACATGTTTCTTTATTGAATTTATCTATGCTTGTAGATTTTGTATTCTATTTTATGCACTCCCCTACAAAATCTTTCCAGTCAATTTAAAATGATAGAATCTTTACAAACATTTATTTAACTCATCTAGGGAAATTGTATTCATATCGCAATATATATTGCAGAATGAAAAAATATCACAATGTGTAATTTTTCCAATATTGTGCAGCCGTATTTGTATCTTTCTTCTGTGGAAAACCTAAAGAAGATATTTTGAAGAATGTAGGAAATTGGTAACAATTGACATCCATCATAGGAAAACCAAATGCCATCCAAGTCAATGGTTACCGAACATTTTGTTCAACAAGAGAAACTCAAAACCTTTCACTTAAAATAATTAAATGTTAAAAATAGTTAAATGTTAAATAGAAAACAACAGGCTGTATGTATTTGACACAAAGAACAATAAAGAATGTTGATAAACACTGATATTGGAAATTATTTTATGACTCCTTTAAATGTCAGATTTTCAAAAAATCACTTTTGCATACTTTTTTTGGGGGGGAGGGGTGTTTAAAGTCTACGGGGATTTGTAGTTTTAAAAGCTTTGTATTTTATTTTTGATAATTATTCCCAAAATGTAGTCAAACAGTTCTTTTTTTTTACCTCATGATGTTGAGTTGCATGCTGATCCTCATCTGCCAACACAGAGAATGATGACATATTTATCTCTTAGGTTTTTTTTTTTTTTTAACTAAATTTGAAACATTTGTATTTATCAAAATAAATGTGCTGTTACCTTTTTTGTGTATTTTTCTGATCTTAATAATAAAAAAGGTGAGAGTAACGATCAGAAGAATAACAATAATACCACCAAAAATAAAGGTCAGCGTATAGAAAATGTTTCTAGGACAGTCCTTAGTAGAAATCGGACCCTTTAAGATCTGTTAAAAGTAAATCACATTTCACATCTATAGATTAATATAATGCTGTATATAAATTATGAACATAATGAGTGTTAATATAAGACAGATTATAACCTGTATTTGTGTTTGTAACCGTATTTGTGACAGTTTAATTTTTTAGAGATCCTTCGCTTTTCACTGCGCAGTAAAATAGGAATTAAAATATGAGTCATTTAGCGAATCAAAACAACTTCTCTACATAGCATCACAAAAACAGTGTTGAAAAACTATTACTGTGAACAGCTATGGTATAATGTGTGAAAGCATTTTTTCTAATAGTGCTTTTAATAAAGTTTACCTTCAATGTCTAGATGTGCTCCATCCCCAAACACAATCTCCCAAGAGCCCCAACCACAGAAGTACAGAGCAGAATCAGAAATATCCACATTTAAAATACTTAGTGATGTGTTTTCTTTGTTTAGAGACATAACAAAGTGGTCTTGTTGAAAACCATTTAAATAATTTACATATATTTCCTTAAGCTGGTAGCTTATCATCTTGTATACAATGTCAACAGGAACAGCACCGTGTGTCTGCTTGAACCAGTGTATGGTCTTTCCAGTGTTTGAGGTGTGTTTACACCAAATAGTAAAATTTTTTCCTGGTTGAGCTGATATATTGACTATCTGAGAAGATTTGACAAGTGAAAGCAAACCTAAAATCCAGAGAAATAACATGTTTTATTTAAAATCCTAGAATCATACAATACATTGCCCCACAAAATCTGTTTTTAAAGATCATAATTGTGCATGATTAAGGTATTTTTAGTGCAGTAACACTTACCCATCAACATTGCTGAAATTAATAAACACACCATTGCTGTATATCAGTCTAGATCCAACGAGGAGATTAAGATGAGGAACCCAATCTGCTTTATTTATATCAGGGGGCGTGGCTTATGCTAATGCAAGCCTATGATAAACCTGCCAATCAGCTGGCCTGTGCACAGCTGGCATTGATGATTTAAAACTAGATACACAATTTAAAAGCAGATATTGATTATTGACATTAATTTGATTATTTGTTTCCAACTTTTTTTGTTTTATTTTGTTTGAATAGCAAAAAACAAAATCTCACGAATCTTTGAGCATGACTTAAATTGTCATCTGGCAAATAAACAACTACAATATCAAATTAAGCAAAACGATTATATTTGGATAATGTAGTGATTATATAATTTGAATAATTAAGAATCCAAACTGAGATAAACTTCAAAGATTTTAAGCTCGACTGAAACTCACAGTTTTGTGAATTGAAGGATAAATTAATTTCCAGAGTCAAACCTTGTTAATGCAAAAAAATATATAAAAATGCAGAGGAAATCTGCTTATAAAGACTTTGTCAATGCAGTAACATTTCTTGAAAGGTAAAACTGTGAAAATATTTAGATATTAAAACTGAAGCATACATAGTTAAACTAAAAAAAAAATATGTTTAATTATAAATTTCAAGTAGCATCAGTATAGACAGAAACTGTGCACACAGAGTCCTCAGCATGTCTTCTGGAAGATTTGGGTCTCTTGTTTGCAAAATGCACAGCTGCGTATTCTACTGAATCATTTTCCTGCAAAGTACAAATATTTATGTTAAAATACTACACTGTAGAAAAACTAAATATAAAAATACAATTTTCATATTTTGTAATTTAGAGATATTTAACATTCATATAGGCATATATTCATAAGTTATAAATTGCATTATGGAACCTTGATCTCTGCTCTGTCGACATTTGATGTTGCAAAAGTGAATTCTGTAGTTTAGCAAAGTGACTTTTATTGCCATTTTAGTTGTTTAAAATAATATATTGTATATTTCCCAGAGATGGGTTGCGGCTGGAAGGGCATTCGCTGCGTAAAAACTTGCTGGATAAGTTGGCGGTTTATTTCGCTGTGGCGACCCCGGATTAATAAAGGGACTAAGCCGACAAGAAAATAAATGAATGATATATTGTATACAAAATAGTATAGAAAAATAAGTCTGTAGAATAACTGAAAAAAATGAAAGTTAAATTTATAAAGGTTATTTTTAATTTACATCACTAATCCAGACAGTGTATCTTACCATTAAATATATTACAGATGTCAATAAAAGTCACTTTTCAAACCTTTCAGCATCAGAAATTGTTGAAGGAAAATTAGGTTAATAATGTAATTCAAAAGCACACTGCAAAGTTTTTTTTTCTTATACGGTAGTTTTTGTCTTGTTTTATAGTCAAACTATCTACAAATTCTTAAATAAAGTAAAAAATATTGTCTTGTTTTGAAAAATAATAAGTCAAAATTAAATGATTTTTTCCCCCTTAAAATTATCCACTGATGGGTTAAGCAAAATAAAAAGATTTAAAATCTAAAAAGAGATTATCAGTTTACCCCATTGGGAGATTATTTTGCTTGTTTTAAGCAAAAAAAATCACTTAATTTTGCTTGTCTAAATATGTTTCTTGACTTCAGAATTTTGTAGATATATGGCAAGTAACAGTATATTTAATAGAAAACCTTTTTTTGCAGTACATAAATATGATAGAATAAAATCATGATTCACAAATACGAAAAATTGTATCCTTATGAGTATTTTTACAGTTTAAAGCAGTCACAAAATATTACAGCTGATCACTGCACCGACAGACACAAATCAACAACAACTGACACTTTTGCTGGATTAATATGTACTGTTTATTGTTGTTTGTCAGGCGTACTGTAATCCAAGTGATCAATCGTGTTAGTCTAGGTCTGTCAGTGCATGTGAATAAGCCTGTAGATTTTATTCTAAAGCTTTTCGATACTTTTTTGTTTTTTTCTTAATCTTCAATATAAATTTTACAACAAAAACCTCTGACCTCCTTTATAGCCAACTAAATTGGAGATAATCTCCAAATACAATAATATGTAACACTTCAAAATAATTACATATACTGTAAAAAAAAACTAGGAAATTAAATAGAGTTTTTCTATACTTATGCTTTTAGTTAGCCACAAGTTTTGCTAAAATTACGAAAAAAAACATAAAGGTTTCACAAAAAATGATCATTTACTCACCCTTCACTTGTTTTAAACCTTTATGAGTTTTCTTCTTTTGTTGAACTCGAGGAAAGCTTTTATTTATTTTTATTTTGAGGAAAGCTGGAAACATTTAACTATTGACTTCCATAGTTTGTATTTTTCCTACTATGGATGTCAAAGGAGAAGAAAGAAACTCATAAAGGTCTTGAATCACTTGAGAGTGAGTAAATAGTGGTTAAATTTAGTTATTTGGATAAACTATGCCTTAAAAAAAATATCAAAATGCATTCTTTTGAAAGTCTTCCCATGCAACAAATAATTTTTTTCTACTGACTATGAAAGGCATTAATTATTAAAATTAGTAGAAATAGATATTAGTAGAAAAAGTATAAATAGAGGGGAAATCACTTCATTGTCTCAACTAAACAAAGACAAATCTTATTTCTTTTTGCAAAGCTTTAATCTAGACTTCAGAATAATTTAATTTGTGGCATTTACCTTGTCATCGTGCTGTGGTGTTTGAACTTCAGTAACTGCAACAAAACAAAGACAATTAGTTGTTTTAAGATAATAAGGAAGTAAAAATGTGTAAGCCGGTTTGCTTGTATTTATTTACATTTTTTTTATCACATGTAAAAAATCACCTTTTTTATGCTTCTGCTGTTTTTGTACCCTCATAATCCCCCAAATAAGAGGAAGAACACATGTGAAAATGATTATGCCACCAAACAGAAAAGTCAGCTTGAAAAAGATGTCTCTAGAACTTTCCTCAGTGGACACTTGGCATTCATCATGATCTGTAAAAAATATTGAAATTTAAAAAATACTTTTTTAGAATTTAATAATACTAAATGTTTTAACTGTGATACGTGTAATTATCTTGCCCTATAGTTTGATTATAAGAATTCCTAGTATTATAGCAGCAGTTTCAACTCGATATAAAGATTTGAATAATATATATACCATTTTTTGAGATTCTTATGTCGTTTTTCTCTGATCTGGAAACAGCTGTGGTAGTTTTAATTGTAGTCGAACTGTGTTTTTCAGCATGTGCTACAAATGGCAAAGTGAGAAAAAAGACCAATAAATATTATTTGAAAAATACTGTATAGAGGGAGAGATGTAAAACAATTACCTTTAACTTCAAGGCTTGTTCCATTGCCAAATTTCAAGGGATATCCCATAAATCCACAAAAGTAGAAGCCAGAATCAGATGTTGTCACATTTATAATTGTTAGTAAAGTGCTTTTGATGGATTGATTCATGACCAGACGATCCTTTGTATAATCATTAAAATAATTTGGTTTTACTTTCTGTAGACTTTCAGTGAATAACATCTTAGCAATAGTAATGGGTACAGCACCGTCTGTTTGCTTGAACCAGTATAAGTCTCCAGAAACATGGATACTGTGTGAACACCACATAGGTACAGTTTCTCCTGGCTGAGCCTGTATATTTGCTGTTGAAACCATAACTTTGAGAAAACCTGAAAGTCCATAAACAAGAAAAAAAAATCATACAACCAAAAGTAAAATCAAATAAAAATATTTCTTCTGATTTTAATAACTCTCCAGATATGTTATTACGTATATTTTTATTGAATAGCATTATAATTTATGGTAGATAATAATACTCACCCATGCCAAAGAGCAATAAAGCTGCAGCTGAAATATGTAACATTTCTGCACTGAGTCAAAGCAGAGCTAAAGAGGAAATTAAGTGGGCGATATCAGTGAGTTTATATATATAAGAAGGAGTGGCTTTTTACAGGAAAACTATTGTAGACCTACTAGACAAAAGGCCATTGATTGTTACAACTGAAATACGAACTGTGTCCATGAAGAGCTACATTTAGATGCTCGTTTGCATAGATAAACATTATTTACCCTCATTAGTGTGCATAAATTGCATGCAAGTCAAATGAAAGTTTGCTTGTATTTGTTTATGCATTTTTTGTATTTTAAATTACACACTTGGGCGGCATGATGGCTCAGTGGTTAGCACTGTCTCTAAACAGCAAGTAGATCGCTGGTTCAAGTCTCGGCTGGATCAGTTGGCATGTCTTTATGGAGTTTGCATGTTCTCCCTGTTTGCGTGAGTTTCCTTCAGGTGCTCCGGTTTCCCCCACAGTCCAAAGAAATCCGCTATATGTGATTTTAATAAACTATTGGCTGTATTGTGAGTACGTGTGTGAATGCTAGAGTGTATGGGTGTTTTCCAGTATTGGGTTGCAGCTGGAAGGGCATAAAACATATGCCGGAATAGATGGTGGTTCATTCCGCTGAGGCGACCCTTGATAAATAAAAGACTAAGCTGAAGGAAAAAGAAAGAATGAATGAATTACACACTTGTTGGTACCGAAAAGAATATTCTCTTACAAATGTGGTTTAGACCACCCTTCAAAATTTAGGAAACTGTGTATTATGATGTTATTTGGTTATGTGTTGCCCACCTTACGATGAAGGCATTGCAAATTAATTTATCCATAGGGATTATTAAAGTCACCTTACTTAAAAAAAAAAAAAAAAAATGTGTTGATGTTTTAAAGAAGCCAATTCTGTTCACCAAGGCTCATTTATTAGGTAAAAAATTCTGAAATATTACAATTTTAAAGAACTTTATTTTATGTTTTTTATTGAATGTAGTTTCAAATTTAAATGATTCTTGATTCAAAATTGAGGTTTCTTTATTCTGTTTTCAGTGTCACATGATTCTTCAGAAATCATATGATATAATGATTTGCTGTGCTATTATGATTAGTTGTTATTGGTACATAATCACTAATAATGAATGATTCTTACACTTATCAGTGCTGAAAACATATTTTCTTTCCTCATATTATCGGTGAAACTGTACTACGCTTTACTTTAGGGATTTTTTAATGAAAAAAATAGTTTAAAGTAACAGTTTTATTTGCAATTTTTTACATATTAATACATTGCATGTTTATCTAAATATTACTTGTGCCAGCTATAAAAGAAAAATCTTTGTCACCATGTATATTTATAGACAGATCACAAGGCTGAGGTTTTTAGATCAAGTTGCTGTAGAATAAAGACTGACAATGGATGATGGAGCTTTTCCAAGAGTTTGTTTGAACCCGGAGAAGTAGCTTTTATGATTTTGAGAAATTAAATACTCTAAAGTTACAGTTTTCTGATTGAGATGGTGTCTGACTGACTGCTGTCTTTTTTTATGTAAAGGCCTTCTGCTGTGCATGCGATGTGGCTTATCTTTTGTTCTTCAGCGATTGAAGCTTTGGTGAGTCTGAGTCTGGTGTATTCTCCTTAATGAGCAAGTCATATTATTTAAGTATTTTAAATGAACATTTTAATTGTTTCCATTTTTATTAGATTGCATTAAGCTCATAATGTACATGCTTTCTTATTTTTCATCAAACCCACTGACAACCAGCCATTGTTTTAATTACATCATAATCACAAATAATATATAGTCTAAAAACATGGGGATATCTAAATGTTGTCATACAAGTACATTTAGTCATTTATCTTTTATCCGATTTACAAATGAAGAAATCATCAATAAATGCATCATAAAGAGGCACACCAAGTGCTACTGATGCAAAGTTTTAGATTCAATTAGTTGTAATTAGCTCTTTTTGCTCATTCAGTCATAAGAAGACCATATATTTTGGTGTCACAAATTTAGAACACACTTTGAATGTTTTTGATGCCTAATCAGTTTAACCTGCAGAACATGTCTGTTAACATTATAAGCTAATGAACTGGTGCCCCCTATGTGCTGTAACTAGAAAAACACAGACTCGAAACATCTCCTTTTTGCCTGAATTTCTGACCACTTTAGGTACACCTTGCTAGTACTGGGTTCTTCTTTTGCCTTTAGAACTGCCCTGTTTCTTAATGTTGTGAATTTAACAAGGTGCTGGAAACATCCCTCAAAGATTTCTGTCAATATTGAAAATCTGCTGCAAATATTTCTGGCTGCATGTTTGTGATTTGAATCTGCTGTTCACAAATTAGCTCTATTGGACTGAGATATGCAATAGTGCAGGGATATTCAGTGTTTGTCATAGGGGCCAGTTTATAAAAATGTCATGATGAGACAACAGTAATATATGAGCTATATGTTGTAAATATGACACAAAAGTAAACATTTTCCGAACATTTGAACATGCTCATGTTGTATTTTAAAACTTAGCAAAACATCAGTGCCAGTGACCCTGCCAGTGTTGTGTTGCACAGCTATATTTTTGGCAATTGCCAACAAAGAAAAACATTATGGGTCAAAATTATGAATGTTTGTTTATGTCAAACATCATTAGAATATTACAGTAAGTAAAGATCATGTTGCAGGAAACTATACTTGAACCACTCATCAACTGGGTCAAAAAAACACAAGTAAGTGAGATGACAAGCTGAACTTCCTAGCAGTTTCCAGTGGGCGTCCTTTAAAAGGCTCAGCACTGTTACCACATCTGTTCATCCTAGTAATGAACACCATCTCAAGGGACCTGCAGCGAAATGCACCCTGGTCAGTGCTTTATGCTGATGACATTATGCTCACTGCGACGTGCAGCAACAAGTCCAGAAGTGGAGCGACCACCTCACCATCTTTGGACTCTTTAAAAAGCAAAACCTAGAAAAGATTGAGACCTTCTAGTATCTTGGCTACAATCTGCTGGAAGATGGCGGGATCAGTGTGAGCAAGAGTGAATGCATCTTGGATGCAATGGCAAGAAGTCAGTGGTGTGCTGTGTGACAAATACTAAGTTGTCTCAAATCAAGCTTCTACAAAACATTCATACTGCCAGCTCGATTTTTATGTAACAGAGTGTTGGGAAGCAACAAAAACCTCTGAAAGCTCTTATCAATGGAAAGAGAATGTTTTGCTGGATGTTGGACTTATCAATTCTCGACCATATCACAAATTTTCCATACAATAACAATTTAGGGCCTACTCACACTATGCCATCCGTATCATGCCCAGGCCCGTTTCCCGGATCGTTTGAGAAGTGTGAGTGCACTGAATCGGGCTCAAGCACGGTTCACTTGGCCGGCCCTGGCCCGGTTGGAAGAGCTGGGCCTGAGCGCGGTTCACTTAGGCTTTGGCGCGGTACTTTTGTGAGTGAGTGCAAAATGCGCTCGGTTCAAGGCAACTGTACCTAGTGCGAGTACGGCCTTAGTGTAGTGTTAATCACAGAGGAAATAACAGGACACCAACTTCACTTGTATGAGCACATCCTCCAAGCAGTACCTGAAAGTGTTGTCAACCATCAGGACGACCAAAACAAAGATGGCGAGACACTATTTACTCCAATATAAAGGCATATCATTTTTGTCCTGTGATGGCAAATAACCATGCAAGTTGGCGCTCAATGGTCCAAAAAGCAGACACTCTTGCTGCAAGAAAATGCTGATCAAACCCTACATCAATGGAAAGCTTAGCTATTCATCTTTTATATAATGCAGTTATTTATGACAGGGTCACAAATAGGCTTTTTCTACAAATATATATTTTTACATTTCGCAAGAGGAGTGAAATCGGGTGCATATACGTAGCTTAAAATTGTAGCTTAAAGTAGGGCAGGTGAGTGAAGGGTGTCCAGTTACTCATTTTAGTGACATTCATGTCTGAGAATGATGACGCATGTTGATTAGCACTAATCTAGTGACTGTTGGGGTCATCTACATATAACAAATTCATTGTGTTCATGTCTTCACATTATGAGCTCATTGCCATCATAAAGGAATGAAGATGTTCAGCAACAGTAACTGATGTAGGCTGTGGTGATAAAATAAAAAAAAAACTCAGTATGCCAAGAAAATTTTCCCCACACCAATACACCACAAGTAGACTGAACTGCTGAATTAAGCCCTGATGTATCAATTCTTTCATGTTGTTTAAACAACATTTTTACCCCATCAACAATGTCACACTAGAAATTGAGACTCAAGTAAAACTTAAAAGTATAGAAGTTAGAAAAAAGGTTATGTCTGCCATGTTTGTAGTTTGTAAACATTTTTTATCCACAAAAAAAAAAAGTTGTCTGCCATGTTTGTAGTTTGTTTACACTTTATCCACGTTTGTAGTTCTAATTGAATTTTGTAGTTTTAAAAGATTGGTTCTGCACTTTCAATTTCTACTGAACTTTAGCTTTGGAATACTTGTTTCAACAAACTACAATTAAGGGATACATAATATATCGGTGGACATATCATTATCGGCCAAATAATATTTATTATCAAAAGCTATTTTTTAATGTTACCATTATCAGTCTGATGTCAAAATTAGGCCGATGTCTTTAAGCCGATAAATTACGTAATTGTTCAGAACTGCTCGTCTCGCGCATGCATGGGTGGAACTTGTTCAGACTTGTCCAGTGCACTATAATGGAGCTTACCTCACATTGTTTATTCCTTCAAAGTTCGTCCTTTCTTTCTGTGTTATTGCTGTGTGTTATTAAAGGGCCATGACACCCCCCACTTTCGGTTAAAGTCTACTTCAGAATCTTTTCAAAAGATGCATGATTAATGGGCGTGGAGCTCCGCGAGCATATGGCAGGAGTGGGCGTGGCCAGCAGGGGAGAAGGGGAGTAAACAACTGTTGATGTCAGTTAGCTCACAAATTGAGACAAACCGTGAGGAGACGCATGAGTTTATAGTTTACAAAGTTAAAATGCAAAGAAATAAACAGTAATTTAAAGCCCTGCTACAT